CAACGCTTCGTCGCCGTAATAGTGCGCCATGACGGCAACTCTCGCTACCGGCTTGTTTTCTGAGTTAACATCGTCCACGTACTTCAACCACGCTGTAAGCTGCGGATTTTCGAGCAATTTATCACCAGCTTTGTCAAGTGTCAAGAATTTGAAGACATATCTAGGGGCTTCCTTAGTAGCTAAGCAGCGCTGTATTTGCTCTCCGTGCAGCCTGTCAGCGATGCTCGCTGTGCTTGGGATTTGCTTTGCCTCTAGCAGGACCTTTGACAGGGCCTCATCACCGTAGTGATTCGTCAAAAGCACAATGCTCTTCTCTGCCTTTGTCGGGTTTTTCTCGTTGAAGTCAGCCACATATTTCAGCCACCCGCCAATTTGGGGATTGTCAAGCAACGTGTCGCCAGCCTTGTTCAGCTTCAGCAGCTTGAAGACTTTCGCTGATGTCTTTTTGTTGTCCAACCAGTACTGGAGCTGTCTAGCCTGCAAGTCGTCAGCTAAAGCCCGAGTAGTTGGATTGATCTGAGCGGCAATGATCATTTGTGACAGGAGTTCATCGGTATAGTAAGCCGTTAATTTTGAGATTGTCGATACTCCGCTTTCAGGATGCGAAGCCGAAAAAGCATCGACGTATTTCACCCAATCCGCAAATTTTTTTTTGCTGAATATGTCACCTTTTCCACTGCCCAACTTCAGTAAATTGAAAACGCTGTCGGCCGTTTCCCTTTTCTGGAGCCAATCCTGGAATTTTTTCTCGGAAATTGTCGACGACGTGAACACGCTTTCGATCTTACTTCCAACTGTGAAGGCAGGAATCCTCGTTCTTCATGAGATCGTAACAGTCTGGAGGAGAGATCGTTCGCCTCGCTGGGACCAGAAAAATCAGACTTGAGGAAGGCTCCGACACCTCCGAGTAGTGTAACGACAACAAGTAGAAGGGCATCGCGCAGATGCATGGCGGCCGGAGATTTTTTTGCCTTACAAATAGTTCTTGACGATGGCAAATTCGATACTGTGGTATTGATACTGCGAATACGGGAATGTAATAGTGTTTACGCTTAAGTTAAGGAAGTATAATGGCTGCTGCGATCCGACGATGACCAAATTATGTTCTAATATTTACACTACAGCCAAAGAAGCATCATCAACAGAGCTTGAGCTCAAATTTTGAGTATGTAGTGAGAATCAGGGCAAACCACAAATTTGAGCTCAAGCTCTGTTGATGATGCTTCTTTGGCTGTAGTGTAAATACTAGAACATAATATAGGATTTGGTCATCGTCGGGTCTTAACCTTAGCGTAAACACTATTACATGCTCAATGAAATCTCACACTTCGAAATAACCGAGTATTTGAACAAGTGTGTGGTGAATATTCGACTAGTCGTTCTATAATCGAAGACTCTAGAATCGCTGAGGACTCGATCACAGACACACCAGAGTATATCTGGTTAAAGTTTGATCACCTTACCAACTAGAGCTCATATTTCCGCTGTTGTCAGCTACGTCACCAAAAGCAATGGTATTCTACCAAAGAACCACCCAAGATGACGCAAACCGACTCCCGCAGGCCGAGTAAATTGCTCAACGTCTTAGCTCAGCTGGATACTGACCGTCAGGCTCGTCGGCTCAGCTCGATATTGACCGTCAGGCTCCTCGTCAAAGCGTACCTTTAGAGCGATTTGATGAATTTGACGAAGACATAAGCCCCATCTCCAACGTACCACCAATATGGAGGAGGACAGGTAAGATGAGAGCTAATATGCCACATCCGCTCGGTCATGCGTGACGCTAATAAACATGTACGAATCCTTCTTCTCCATAAGAAGGAAGGCGAAGCTACCATACCTACTTCAAGTGGCAAATGTTATCGGCCACGAGGCGCAGCTCTACAAAGTGGCAGCAGCAGTCGACAGCTTTTATATCCTTGTAAATGCGAAACGTTTTCGTCATCTCGGTGCAACGTTATAAATTAAATTGTCCGTCGCATTCTTCACTAACGATATAAACACGAAACCAACAGCGAAAAGAGAGCAAAACAACTGCAAAATAAATTCCTTAATCAAGACGAAAGTTCGGCAAAAAGGAATTTTTCTGGGATAGGAACACATTAGTACTGAAAGAGACAGCCTAATAAGGATTAATTCGGTGGTATAGTCAACCCAGGATACCGATATAGGCACCAGTACGTCGCTATATCCTAGATGCTCCCTATCGGTATATCAGTACCGATACCTGTAGGTATATGCGCAAAGTTGGCTTTATTGAGATAAGATGGGCACTATTGGTATACCATATATAAACAAAGCCGTGCTGGCGCCCGGAGAAGCTCTGGATTTTAGTGGCGCTTTTCTATTTCAAGGAGTTTATAAGAATGGATACATCGACGTAGGAAGATGAAGTAAACCTCAGTTAATATGTTTTTGCTCGCACTCTTTCTGCTCGAGAACTATCCACCAAGCTAGCTGGTTGATTTTTTGTTGCTGTCGAAGCAATATGTAGCTCATTACGCCCGTTGCTAAAACTAATGCTTGGGCTATCACAATGCAAAATGAAGACATTTATCGACGCAGAGAGAAGTTGGCGATCTTTTCACGACAAACTCGAAAAAAGGATTGAGATTTCGCTGGAAGAGTTTCAAATTCTCGACAAGATTTCACGCGGTTTTCCACAATGTAACTTTTATTGCATGTTGCTCGAATGAGCCCGATAGCAGATTATATTTTAATATCTACAGTACTATCTGT